ACCAGTGATGGCGGAGGAAGGGACAACAGTGGTCCAGAGTACAGAGGTGGAGGAAGAGCCGACAGTGGTCCAGAGTACAGTGGTGGAGGAAGGGACGACAGTGGTCCAGAGTACAGTGGTGGAGGAAGGGACGACAGTGGTCCAGAGTACAGTGGTGGAGGAAGGGACGACAGTGGTCTAGAGTACAGTGGTGGAGGAAGGGACGACAGTGGTCCAGAGTACAGTGGTGGAGGAAGGGACGACAGTGGTCTAGAGTACAGTGGTGGAGGAAGGGACGACAGTGGTCCAGAGTACAGTGGTGGAGGAAGGGACGACAGTGGTCCAGAGTACAGTGGTGGAGAAGGGACGACAGTGGTCCAGAGTACAGTGGTGGGGAAGGGACGACAGTGGTCCAGAGTACAGTGGTGGAGGAAGGGACGACAGTGGTCCAGAGTACAGTGGTGGAGGAAGGGACGACAGTGGTCCAGAGTACAGTGGTGGAGGAAGGGACGACAGTGGTCCAGAGTACAGTGGTGGAGGAAGGGACGACAGTGGTCCAGAGTACAGTGGTGGAGGAAGGGACGACAGTGGTCCAGAGTACAGTGGTGGAGGAAGGGACGACAGTGGTCCAGAGTACAGTGGTGGAGGAAGGGACGACAGTGGTCTAGAGTACAGTGGTGGAGGAAGGGACGACAGTGGTCCAGAGTACAGTGGTGGAGGAAGGGACGACAGCGGGTCCAGAGTACAGTGGTGGAGGAAGGGACGACAGTGGTCCAGAGTACAGTGGTGGAGGAAGGGACGACAGTGGTCTAGAGTACAGTGGTGGAGGAAGGGACGACAGTGGTCCAGAGTACAGTGGTGGAGGAAGGGACGACAGTGGTCCAGAGTACAGTGGTGGAGGAAGGGACGACAGTGGTCCAGAGTACAGTGGTGGAGGAAGGGACGACAGTGGTCTAGAGTACAGTGGTGGAGGAAGGGACGACAGTGGTCCAGAGTACAGTGGTGGAGGAAAGGACGACGACAGTGGTCCAGAGTACAGTGGTGGAGGAAGGGACGACAGTGGTCTAGAGTACAGTGGTGGAGAAGGGACGACAGTGCGTCCAGAGTACAGTGGTGGGGAAGGGACGACAGTTGGTCTAGAAGTACAGTGGTGGAGGAAGGGACGACAGTGGTCCAGAGTACAGTGGTGGAGGAAGGGACGACAGTGGTCTAGAGTACAGTGGTGGAGGAAGGGACGACAGTGGTCTAGAGTACAGTGGTGGAGGAAGGGACGACAGTGGTCCAGAGTACAGTGGTGGAGGAAGGGACGACAGTGGTCTAGAGTACAGTGGTGAGGAAGGTACGACAGTGGTCCAGAGTACAGTGGTGGAGGAAGGGACGACATTGGTCCAGGAGTACAGTAGTGTGGTAGTGAAGGGACGACAGTGGTCCAGAGTACAGTGGTTGGAGGAAGGGACGACAGTGGTCCAGAGTACAGTGGTGGAGGAAGGGACGACAGTGGTCCAGAGTACAGTGGTGGAGGAAGGGACGACAGTGGTCCAGAGCACAAACAGTGGTGTATACAGTAATTTCCACTTGCCCACTAGAATATTAGTGTCAGTGGCGTGGACAATATTTGTTAAATATTGACAGAATATTATGGTAATATTGGAATTAACTCCTTATGAGGATAATAATAATAACAATTATTAACTGACTGAAGCTAAATTTTCTCATTCATATTTCCATGGTGGAAAATTAAAACAAATTATAGTGGATGGAGAACATCATATACCACTTGTGTGTTATTGAAGAACATTTACTACGTGTTAGTGAAGAACATGTGCTACTTTTGTTATTGAAGAACATGTACTATTTGTGTTATTGAACATGTACTACTATGTTAGTTAAGAAATTGTACTTCTTGGGATAGTGAAGTACATATAACACATCAATGGCAGTGAAGAACATATACTAGTGCGTTAGTGAAGAACATATACCACTTGTGTGTTAAAGAATATAGACATAAAGAACATATGCCACTTGTTAGTGAACATGTTCCCCTTGTTAGAGAAGAACATATACAACTTGTTAGTGAAGAACATGCATCCCTTGTTGGCGAAGAACATGTACCCCATTTTAGTGAACATGCAGCCTATGTTAGTGAAGAACATATGCCCCTTATTAGTGAAGAACATATACCCCTTATTAGTGAAGAACGTATACCCCTTATTAGTGAAGAACAAGTACCCCTTTTTGGTGAACGTATACCCCTTGTTAGTAAAGAACATATATCCCTTGGCGAAGAACATCTACCCCTTTTTAGCGAACGTGCAACCTTTGTTAGTGAACATATATCCTTTGTTAGTGAAGAACATGTACCCTTTGTTAGTGAACATATACCCTTTGTTAGTGAAGAACATATACCCTTTGTTAGTGAAGAACATATACCCTTTGTTAGTGAAGAACATATACCCTTTGTTAGTGAAGAACATATACCCTTTGTTAGTGAAGAACAAGTACCCCTTTTTAGTGAACATATGCCCCTTGTTAGTGAACGAAATATGCTCCTTGTTATTGAAGAACATGTATGTATTAGCGAAGAAAACGTACCCTTTGTTAGTGAACAATATATACCACTTGTTAATGAATTTGTACCACTTATTAATGAAGAACGTATATCCCTTGTTAGTAAAGAATGTATACCCCTTGTTAGTAAAGAATGTATACCCCTTGTTAGTAAAGAATGTATACCCTTTGTTAGTAAAGAACGTATACCCCTTGTTAGTAAAGAACATATACCCCTTGTTAGTAAAGAACATATACCCCTTGTTAGTAAAGAACGTGTACCCCTTGTTAGTAAATAATGTATACCCCTTGTTAGTAAAGAACATATACCCCTTGTTAGTAAAGAACATATACCCCTTGTTAGTAAAGAACATATACCCCTTGTTAGTAAAGAACATATACCCCTTGTTAGTAAAGAACATATACCCCTTAGTGAAGAACATATACCTATTGTTAGTGAAGAACATTTATCCCTTGGTAGTAAAGAACATATACCCCTTAGTGAAGAACACATACCTATTGTTAGTGAAGAACATATACCTATTGTTAGTGAAGAACATATACCTATTAGTGATGAACATATACCCCTTGTTAGTAAAGAACATATACCCCTTAGTAAAGAACATATACCTATTGTTAGTGAAGAACATATATCCATTGGTAGTGAAGAACGTATACCCCTTATTAGTAAAGAACATATATCCCTTAGTTAAGAACATATACCTATTGTTAGTGAAGAATATATATCCCTTGGTAGTGAAGAACGTATACCCCTTAACGAAGAACATATACTTTTTGTTAGTTGATAACATATACCCCTTGTTAGTAAGGAACATATACCCCTTAGTGAAGAACATATACATCTTGTTTGTGAAGAGCATGTACCCCTTGTTAGTGAAGAACATGTACCCCATGTTAGTGAAGAACATGTACCCCTTGTTAGTGAAGAACATGTACCCCTTAGTGAAGAGCATATACCTCTTGTTAGTGAAGAACATATACTCCTTGTTAATGAACATGTACCCCTTAGTGAAGAACATGTACCCCTTAGTGAAGAACATGTACCCCTTAGTGAAGAACATGTACCCCTTAGTGAAGAACATGTACCCCTTAGTGAAGAACATGTACCCCTTAGTGAAGAACATGTACCCCTTAGTGAAGAACATGTACCCCTTAGTGAAGAACATGTACCCCTTAGTGAAGAACATGTACCCCTTAGTGAAGAACATGTACCCCGTAGTGAAGAACATGTACCCCGTAGTGAAGAACATGTACCCCGTAGTGAAGAACATGTACCCCGTAGTGAAGAACATGTACCCCTTAGTGAAGAACATGTACCCCGTAGTGAAGAACATGTACCCCTTAGTGAAGAACATATACCTCTTGTTAGTGAAGAACATATACCTCTTTATGAAGAACATGTACCACCTGCTAGTGAAGAACATGTTCCCGTTGTTAGTGAATAACATATACCCCTTGTTAATGAATAACATATACCCCTTGCTAGTGAAGAACATATACCCCTTATTAGTGAAGAACATGTATCCCTTGTTAGTGAAGAACATGTATCCCTTGTTAGTGAAGAACATGTATCTCTTGTTAGTGAAGAACATGTATCCCTTGTTAGTGAAGAACATGTATCCCTTGTTAGTGAAGAACATATACCCCTTATTAGTGAACATTTACCCCTTGTTAGTGAACATATACCCCTTATTAGTGAAGAACATACGCCACTTGTTAATAGAGAACATGTACCCTTTAGTGAAGAACATTTACCAATTGTTAGTGAAGAACATGTTTCTTATATTAGTGAAGAACATGTATCACTTACTAATGAAGAACATGTACCACTGTTAATGAAAAACGTGTACCACTGTTAATGAAAAACGTGTACCACTGTTAATGAAAAACGTGTACCACTGTTAATGAAAAACGTGTACCACTGTTAATGAAAAACGTGTACCACTGTTAATGAAAAACGTGTACCACTGTTAATGAAAAACGTGTACCACTGTTAATGAAAAACGTGTACCACTGTTAATGAAAAACATGTACCACTGTTAATGAAAAACGTGTACCACTGTTAATGAAAAACATGTACCACTGTTAATGAAAAACGTGTACCACTGTTAATGAAAAACGTGTACCACTGTTAATGAAAAACGTGTACCACTGTTAATGAAAAACGTGTACCACTGTTAATGAAAAACGTGTACCACTGTTAATGAAAAACGTGTACCACTGTTAATGAAAAACGTGTACCACTGTTAATGAAAAACGTGTACCACTGTTAATGAAAAACGTGTACCACTGTTAATGAAAAACGTGTACCACTGTTAATGAAAAACGTGTACCACTGTTAATGAAAAACGTGTACCACTGTTAATGAAAAACGTGTACCACTGTTTTTGAAAAACGTGTACCACTGTTAATGAAAAACGTGTACCACTGTTAATGAAAAACGTGTACCACTGTTAATGAAAAGCGTGTACCACTGTTAATGAAAAGCGTGTACCACTGTTAATGAAAAACGTGTACCACTGTTAATGAAAAACGTGTACCACTGTTAATGAAAAACGTGTACCACTGTTAATGAAAAACGTGTACCACTGCTAATGAACACGTACCACTGCTAATGAACACGTACCACTGCTAATGAACATGTACCACTGTTAATGGACACGTACCACTGTTAATGAACATGTACCACTTAGTGAAGAAAATGCACCTCGTCTTAGTGAAGAACATTTATCACTTGTTCATGAACATATCGGACGAGGACAACGCACCACGACAACGTAGGTTAGTACACATCATTTCCACCTTCGTAAACATACATCATACGCGTGGCCAGTGTACGGTTGTCAGTGTCCCACCAATCACACCTGCACTCGTTATGATCCATCATACTTGCAATGAAAGGCAATTAGGCGGTTAAAGAGTGTCATTAGCTGAATAGTTTGCTAACTATCTAATAGGGTCATTGAAATTGAAAGTTTGGGTAGCTGCATATATAGATTTAGATGCTTTAGAAAGACCCGTAAACAAATACGACGATATATTTATTAGTAAACTTGTTAGTATATATTATCAAGGTTTATACCTTAGGTTTAGATAAATGCACGAGTGAGAGGGTTGGATTCGAGTGGGACTCGCACTTGAGTAAATGGGTTTATTTTTATCCTTGGGTAACATTGGGAATGGGTTGGATGAATATCTTTGTTAGTGGGTTAAGGTTTGAGAAGGACGTGCCAAGTATGGGCCAGTAGGCGTGCTGCAGTGTTCCTCCTTTCTTATGTTTTCATGTGTTTTACACACGAGGTATTTTTTTCCCCTCTAACTTGAAGGTAGATAAGCAGAGTCACCGAGTCATTTCAGATGTAAACCACCAATGGCTTTGTCTTCGTAAATCGTCTACGTATTGAATTGTTCAAGGCACTAGTCCCCTCTAGACGCTGGCGAGGGGCTCTTGATCTATGGAATTGGATCTGTGCTTCAGTTATCTAAATTGAGAATAAATGGCTTCCATTATACCCCCCATCACAGGCGCTGTACAGACCCTACCGCTGTACAGTGCCCATGATAATCAAGGCACTGGTTGGCGGAGCGTCTTCAAATCAAGCCAACGGTGTTTCATTCCTCATAATAACCAGGCTTAGGCTTCGTTACAAATATTTCTGGCAGTTTGGTAAGCGCACAGATGTTAATTATGTTAAACGCTTGGTGTGTTAAAATGTTACGTGTCAAGTCTACAAAGAACAAAAAGGAACAATACCATGATATGAACACTGGACAAATAACCCGCACATAGAGAGGAGCCCAGCCCTAAGGCTGGCGAGCAACGTTGAGTACCTAGGGTCCTAAGGCTTTCAAATGGAAAAATGAGGTGGGTGGGAGGGAGGAAGGGGGTTCTAGAGGGAAGGGGGGTGCTAAAAGGAGAGGGATGTTTGTGAGAGAGGAAGAGGGGGGTGGGTGAGAAAGGGGACAGCATCGAGGAGGCGGAAATTAAAGATGGTACAGTTGTCATCTCCTTCAGTTTAACCTGATCCCAGGAACCTGGAGATATAACCTGGTCCCAGGAACCTGGAGATATAACCTGGTCCCAGGAACCTGGAGATATAACCTGGTCCCAGGAACCTGGAGATATAACCTGGTCCCAGGAACCTGGAGATATAACCTGGTCCCAGGAACCTGGAGATATAAGAGCTACACGAGACAGGTGTTCAGTGTATCATCGTGTAGTTTCCTAAGTACTCGCAAACAATCATTACTTCTGCCATTCTTTATACTTTTTACTCGCAAGTCCTTATACACAAATTGTGAATAGTAAATAATGGTTTGGTAAAGAAAAAAAGTATAAATACTTGACTTGATTCGGACTTTCAGAATTATAATTTGTTTGTTTGGAATCCTATTGCGTTATTTAATATTCCAATGACATTTTAAAATTAAAAGGAACTTGCACAATTTATTTCGTTCAAAGGCGCTTGTTAATAGCCTTCTTTATTCTTCTGATTCTCCCTTTTATTTTAAATAATGCAAACTCGTCCATCTCTGGCTCTCTGTCATGCAACACTCTTCATACCGGCAACACTTCCATATCAACAACGACTCTTTTTTTTCCCAAACTTCAAGAGAGCGGTGTTCAGTTGTTTGCTTATCTTTGCCCGTCCCTATGCTGAACTCCGTCTCAGTTCTTGTGTTTGTTGACGTTGATTTGCAGCAGCAGCTGCTCGTATCACAGTACATGTTGCTTGTCCCTGTCTGTCTGGAGTCTATCTCTGCCGCTCCATGATTTTACTACTGTCATAAGAAGCTACTTCTGGGAGAGGAAAATCATAGGAACACCGGCTGACCGTGGTACCTATGGCTGAGGGTCCCCTACTTGTTACGCACTCTAAATCTTCACACCTCCTTCCTTATTTCGTTTTATACTTTGTTTTATACCTCTTTTTTTATTTGTATATTAACATTTAGTAAGGTATGGTTTAAAAAATATACATCGGTAACTCTGTCATAAAACTCCAAGAGGGTTCAGGAGACGGGTTTTCCCGTCCCAGAATCCGTGCTGGTTTTCCCTGACAAGTCCTGTCTTCTTTAGATGTTGCTACAGTGTCCTCCTTACACTCTTCTCCTTACACACACTTTTCTTACATCTCTTCTCCTTCAACTCTCCTCCCTAGTCTCCTAGTATACGTGTGTTGTCGCTATTATTTTTACATCTTTATCATTTTTTTTGTCGCTGCTGTAATGCGTTTCGTTGCTAACATGTGAATGTCGTTTTTATGATCTGATCTTTTTTCATTTCGGTGTTGTTTCTATTGTTATACTGCATTTCTTTGCCGTCATAAGTGTGTGTGTGTGTGTTGTTTCTATCAATCTTGTCGTTGTTGCTGTTTTATGTGGGCAGTTTTTTCATCATGTGGCTGCTTCCTCGTAGTCGTTGCTGGAACTCACAGAAGGGGAAAAAACTGACTGTGTGAATCGATATCCATCAGAGGCGGCAACAACAACATTAATTTCCAATATGGAATCTCAAGATCTGTGTAGGTGGCGGCGTCAATATTCCATTTCAACGCCCTGATGAGCACCACCCCTGAGGGTCCGTAAAGTTGTCTCCCCTTCCCCTCAAAGCAGGGCCCCTGGTGGGTACCGCCCTTGATGGCCCATAGGGTAGCCCCTCAACGCTGGGCTCCTGGTGGTTTCTACCCCTGAAGAGGGCTAGTAAGGTAGCCCCTCAACGCTGGGACCCAGGTAAGCACTGCTACCGAAGACAGCCCGTCAGGAAAATCCTCAACGTTGAAGCCCCGTCCATCTGGGCTTTTGATTAGCACTGGACCTAAAGGCCCATAAATGAGCTTGCTCCCACCTGACCATCTAGGATCCTGATGAGAGATGCTCTCTCTCATCTCCGTGGAAGCTCCTCAGGGAACTCTAGCAACATTCACTCAATTCTCACCTGATCAGAGCTAATAAGACTGACCGGATCATCCAAATTAATGCCCTAGTTAGATCTAACCAATTAAGTGAGCTTTCTCAAGCTTAACCACACCATCCACTCTTACCTGAACTATTGGGCCTACATAAGCTTATCTCTGATCAAAGCTGCTAGACACGGAAGGTTCAACTAGCAAAATAGAGGGGTGCGACTTGGCGCCTGGAATGTCATGAGAACCGTAGAAGACAGAAGAATTGTCCAAAGAAAAGTTGACTAGTTCGGATAGAATTAAACTGCTATAAATGGATAATAAAAAGATTGTGAAAAAATGTAGACTGATACTGGACGAAAAACAGTTTTATCTGGAACATAAACCGGCATGAAGGCGATCCTTCAAGGAAGACTGTATGGTGAGGAGGGGTTTTATCAGAGTTAAGATTGACGTTGCCGCCAGCGGCAGGGACGGTGCAGTGCCGCCAGCGGCTGGGACGGTGCAGTGCCGCCAGCGGCTGGGACGGTGCAGCGCCGCCAGCGGCTGGGACGGTGCAGTGCCGCCAGCGGCAGGGACGGTGCAGTGCCGCCAGCGGCAGGGACGGTGCAGTGCCGCCAGCGGCAGGGACGGTGCAGTGCCGCCAGCGGCTGGGATGGTGCAGCGCCGCCAGCGGCTACGACGGCACAGTGCCGCATTCTTCATATTTTTTACCATACAACATGTATAATATACATACACGAGATACATGGACAAGATACATGTACGAGATTCATTATTAGTATAATCAAATTAAGCGTTAAACCCGCAAGGGTTGCACAGCGCATACACATACACGAGATGATCAGGGGAATGTAATAGTTCAGAGTGAAAGAAACAGGCGTAGAAGGTATGAAATTTTATGACGAGAATGGCGAGAATACTGCATGGCGAGCTGCTGATGCCTAGTGTTGACGCTGGCCAGCAAGGAGAGGAGATTCCATACGCAGTTTTAAGAGTAGGTGTGTGTGTGTGTGTGTGTGTGTGTGTGTGTGTGTGTGTGTGTGTGTGTGTGTGTGTGTGTGTGTGTGTGAGTGTGTGTGTGTGAGACGGCCGACTTGTTGAAAAATATATATACATGTGTGTATATATTTATATATGTATATATATATGTATGTATATATATATGTATGTATATATATATGTATGTATATATATATATATATATATATATATATATATATATATATATATATATATATATATATATATATATATATATATATATATATATAAAATCTCAAATTGCCGAAGAGGAGTATGGAAGAAGTTGACGTATCAGCGGAAGGATTTATGAAGGATGAGGTTAATCATAGAATTGATGAGGGGAAAAAAGGCGAGTGGTGTATACAGGTATATGTGGAGACAAAGAACGTTATCTATGGAGGCAGAGAAGGGAATGTATGAAAGTGTAATAGTACCAACACTCTTACATGGGTGTGAAGCTTGGGTTGTAAATGCTGCAGCGAGGAGGCGGCTGGAGGCAGTGGAGATGTCCTGTCTAAGGCCAATGTGTGGTGTAAATATTATGCAGAAAATTCGAGGTGTGGAAATTAGGATAAGGTGCGGAGTTAATAAAAGTATTAGTCAGAGGGCTGAAGAGGGGTTGTTGAGGTGGTTTGGTCATTTAAAGAGAATGGATCAAAGTAGAATGACATGGAGAGTGTATTAATCTGCAGGGGAAAGAAGACAGGGTAGGGGTCGTCCTCGAAAAGGTTGGAAGGAAGGGGTAAAGGAGGTTTTGTGGGCGAGGGGCTTGAACTTCCAGTAAGCGTGTCTGAGTGTGTTTGCTAGGAGTGAATGGAGACGAATGGTATTTGGGACCTGACGATCTGT